ATGTGGGAGACCTGGAAGAAGCTCCTGGCTCCTGGCTTTGGACCAGCCCAGCTGCAGCCATTGCAGCCATTTAGGGAGTGAATCAGCAGATGAAAGTGCTCACTCTCTCTCTCCCTCCCTCTCTCTCACTCTGTGTCCAAAACTCTGCCTCTCAAACAAATAAATACATTTTTTTAAAAAAGTCCACATGTCTTCTACAGCTCCTGTCATTTCACCACCTCCCCAGCAGCCAGTTCCCACCCTGATGCTCCTAATTCTTTCAGCATCAAGAGCATTCCATTTCATGTCAAACAAAGCTGAGTTTAACCAGATCTGCTATATGAAAAGCATGCAGCCTGGGCCAGTTACTTAACTACAATGGGCCTGGCTTTCTCATCTACAAAATGGAAACAATAACATCGTTCCTGTATGGATTAATGAGACAATCTGTACATAGTATCATGCTTGGCACAAAGCAAGTGTTCAAAATGTTATTTTTATTGCTATTGTTTTTCAGGTTTGGACTCCCTCTCCTGCATCCTCATGTATGGTTAATTCCCATGCTGAGAGGACACGAATAATTCAGTGTGGTTTATGCTCCCTACAGTGACAGCATCCCTCTGGCTTTTGGGGCTGCTTCTGCAGGGTCTCCTTTCCACGTCCCTCCACAGAGAGCTGGGCTCTGGCCAAGCCCCCTGCTCTGCTCCCCGCAGACCTGCCAGCCATGGATCACACCCAATACTGCGATTTCAGCCTCTCTACTTTGGCTCAAGCCCGCACTGTGTCTTTCCCTCTTTTCCCTCTATGCAGCTGGACCCAAAGCTTTAGAATCCATTTAATGCAATCCCTCCAAAAAAAAAAATCTATTTCAAAATTAGCCATTTTAAAATAACTGTTTATTCATTTATTTTCATCTACTTGAAAGGCAGAATGACAGAGAGACAGAGGGAAAAAAGAGATCTTCATCTACTGATTCATGCCCCAGAAGCCAACAACAGCCAGGGCTGGACCAGTCCAAAGCCAGCAGCCCACAATTCCATTCGGATTTCCCACATGGCCAGCAGGGGAAGACCCAGGCATGTAAGCCATCATCTGCCACCTCCCAGCATGCATCAGCAGGAAGCTACATTAGAACTAGAGATGTTGGGACTCAATCCCAGGTACTCCAATATGGGGTACAGGCATCCCCAGTGGCAGTTTAACCCACCACACCAGGACATTTGCCCTTAAAGTAGTCATTTTAAGAAATTTTCTTGGGGCTGGCGATGTGGTGCAGGGGGTTAATGCCCTGGCCTGAAGCGCCAGCATTCCATATGGGCGCTGGTTCGAGACTCTGCTGTTCCACTTCCCATCCAGCTCTCTGTTAAGGCCTGGGAAAGCAGCGTAAAACAGCCCAAGTCCTTGGGCCCCTGCACCTGGATCCTGGCTTTGGATCGGTGCAGCTCTGGCCATTGTGGCCAACTGGGGAGTGAACCATTGGATGGAGGACCTCTCTCTCTCTTTCTCTCTGCCTCTCCCCTCTCTGTATAACTCTTTCAAATAAAGAAATTTTTAAAAAATTTAATTAAAAAAAAGAAATAAATTTTCTTGGAGCCAGCACTGTGCTGTAGCAGGTAAAGCAACCACCTGCAATGCTGATATGTCATATGAGCACTGGTTCAAGTCCTAGCTGCTCCACTTCCCTGTTCCTGTGCCTGGGAAAGCAGCAGGTGATGGCCCAAATGCTTGGGCCCTGTACCCACATGAGAGACATGTAAGACACTCCTAGTTCCTGCCTTTGGCCTGGCCCAGCCCTAGCCATTTAGGGAGTGAATCAGCAGATGGAAGACTTTCTCTCTCTCTCTCTCTCTCTCTCTGTAACTCTTTCAAATAAATAAAACAAACCCCTAAAAATTTTTTTTCTTGCACAATTAAATCTGAGTCAAGCAGGCCTTCACCCAATCTGCATGCACCCACCAGCGCGCCTCCAGGATGTGCGCTGTGCCCTGACTCGTGCATTTTCTCTGGACAGTACCGAAGAGCTGAGCTTTCCCTCAGCACTGTGGGTCTGCTTTGTCACCTCCTCCTCTTCCCTCCCAGGCCTTGCATGACACCAAGCCCCCCAGCCCTTGGAGACACCACTAAGTATGGCTGGCTAATGACAAATGCTAAACAGAGCCCTGACCACCAGCACAAACGCGCACATCTGCACATCTTCAGTCCCCTGCGGCCGGCAATCCACAGGGCAAGTCGGAAACGGGGAGGAAGGGAGGCTCCAGGAGCCAGGCGTGGGATTCGCACACAGTGAGGGGAGAACAAAGGGAAAGGGAGCCTCGGAGGTGGCAGGCAGGGAGGGCGGGCGAGGCAGACTGAGCGTGAGTCAGACAGGGAACGAGGGCACTGGGTCGCACCAGCTCCTGCTCAGCTGCCCCCAGGGGGGAGCAGGGCGGGTGAGAAGTGCAGTGGACCCCACAGCGCAGAGAGCAGGGACAGGAGGGAGCTGAGGACGGGGAGCAAGAGCTCAGCTCATTTCTAGGAGGGCCCAGAGCTCCCGCTTTCCTGTCTGGCCCTGCTCCCGAAGGCTGCAGGGCCACGGTGAGGCGGCCAGGGGGCAGGTGAGGCAGCAGTGAAGCTAACAAAGCTGCCAGTCCTGGCAACCACGACACCTCCCGGAAGACAGAAGCCGCCCTGTGGCTGCTAACACCTCCCATTTATTTGGAGCTTTCAACTTATTTCACACAGCCTCACATGAATGATCTCATTTCATCTTCAGCACAACCCCGGGAAAGAAGAGGCCTGAGGATGCCATCCTAAAAACAGCCCCCCCCCCCAGGCATGCCAGAGGGGCTGGGGGGAGGCTGGGACCCAGGTCTAGGCTCCACCCTGAGCTTGCTCACGGCTGACTGTCCGGGGCTGGGTGGGACCAGAAGTCACCGGACACAGCATCATCCCCGCCTGGAATTTCCCAGACACCCCTCCCCGCTGGCTTACATCCAACACCTGGCACAAAGTGACCATTCCAGCCCCTCCCCGGGGAGCTATGTCAGGCAAGGCCTTTGTCGTGAGTCACACAGTGAGCCCACAGGGAGGACCTGGTGACGATCTCAAGACAGCTCAGGTCTGGGGGGCACCAGAAGACTCGGGTCCCAGCCCCGGCCCTGCCACTCGCCAGCCAGTATCACTCCACCTCTCCATCCTCATTTCACTGTCAAATGAGAACACTAATGAATACCCACGTCTTGGGGTTGTTGGGAGGAACAAATGAGATAAAGATGTCAAAGTGTTATTTACATAAAAGTGAACCACTCTGATTATCAAGTGCAATGGACAGAGGCTGGACCGAGGACCAGAGTCTGGATTCTTCCTGCCTCACCTGTGTGGCCCCGGGCACAGCCCCTGCCGGCCACAAGGCTGCAGCATCCCCTGGGCTACACCGCTAGTGCAGGAATTCTGGTGCTGGCTTCTCTGCTTGACTATCCTGCCATCTGTGCCTTGTGTTGCCTTTGATCCTAGAAACCTTATTAAGGAGAGCCAGCCCGTTCTCAGCAGCGGGAACCTTCCAGCCACCCTGCCCCTCCTACCCATCTCTCAGGGGGCTGATGGGTGTTCATTGCCCCCAGCTTCAAGGAGGGGGAGGTCTTGCGGAGAAACAAGCGACAGACTGAGCAGATAAGATTCCCCAGTTGCAGAGTCTGGCCTGCCGGGGATGGCTGATTCTAACCACCCTGTCTTAGCATCCGCTTCTCCCAGGACGGCCCTAATGATGCCAGGCCCTGATGCCTCCCTTGAGGAAGCAGCTCAGCACAGCCCTGGCTGAGCTCACGGAGGTGAATTAAATATTCAGCACGCAAGGCTCGCGGCGCAACACATCCCCACCTCACAGACAATGCAGCCAGCCCAGCTGCCACTCTTCCAGGGGCTGTAGGCTGGGCTTCCCTGCCCCCAGCTCCCACTTCTGGGCAGAACAGGGAATGGCGATGGCTGCCTCTTCCCAGCAAGCTCATGGCTCCCTATGTCCTTCCTCCAACCCCTAGCACAGAAGGCTCTGGGGGCCTGGAAATGCCTGGACTAGCGAGTGGTGGCATCTGCAGCACTGAAATGAAGCAGGTCTGTGGTGGGCCAGGTGGCGCCTGGGTAGCTCAGCCCCACTTAGGGTCTGGAGGCTCCCACAGGGAAGCGCACAGTGAGGCTCTGGCACCCCTCAGGGCAATGGGGGACTGGGTATTATTGTGATGAGGCCTGGGTGGGGGCTGATTGGTTTGCTTTTCAGAATAATTCAGGTCAGCTTGGCACAGCCTCCGAGATGTCCAGGAGAAGGGAGACCGAGGCCTGGAGAGAGAGAGGAGCAACGTGCGCAAGGTCCCTCGGCGAGGAGCAGTGCAGCTGGCCCGGCCTCCAGGGCTCTGGTACGGGGCCAGGGCTCTTTCCACCCCACCTCCTGCAGGACCCTGCAGCGCCTTCCTGCTGACACCGGGCCAAGGGCCCACTGGGTGGGCCTGGGAACCATTTTCACGGGGAGTATGCTCCATTCGTGGTCCCGCCCATCAAAGAGCAGACCGAGGTCCGTGGGTTCCAGCTCAGCTCTGCCACTCTGTACACAGCAGTCTGGGACCTGCCACTTCTTTGTGCCTCAGTTCCTTGCCTGTAAAGGGGGATTAAGAACTGCCAACTTGGATGAGATCATACATGGCAGGGACTCCGTAAGCAGCAAAGTGCTACCCACCTGTCAGTCGTCACTAAAATGATGCAGGTCAGAGGATGCTACAGAGGGAGGAAGCCTCAGGGCAGGAGGCTGCGCCGGGCTCACACTCACGAGAGGCTGCGGGCCTGCCTGGCCATCCCCAGACCTGGTGGACCCTCTGCTGGGACGGCCAGCAGAGACCACCAGCTCTGCTTTGTGTGTGTGTGTGCATGCGTGTGCACGTGTGTGCCTGTGCCTGGCACTCCACGAGGACAGCCAGGGGCCCTCTGGGCCGGGTCGCAGACCCTCGGGGGAGCCCTGCAGGGAGCCCCCACGTGCCCAGGCTCGCCCGGGCCCTTACCTTGTACTTGGCGGCGAGCAGCTCTGTGGCCTGCTGCTCCCGCCGCAGGTCCTCCAGCATCTTCTCCTTCTCCTCCAGCAGCTTCTGCTTCTCCTCGCTCAGCAGGCTGCGGTCGTCCTGGATGGCCGCCTTCTCCTCCTCCAGCCGCTCCTTCTGCTCCTGCAGGTAGTTCTCCATGCCCTTCTCCAGGGCCGGCTCCAGGAGGGGCTGCGGCGGGCAGTGGTTGTTGTTGCTGTCGTCCTCGTCCTCCGCCACCCAGGCCTCCGGCACGGCGCCCTCGGGGTACCCGGCCGGGGCCGACACGGCCTTCTTCCTGCGGCCGCTCTTCCTGCGCGGCCGCTTGCCCAGCATCCCCTTCCTCTCCAGCTGCGCCTTCAGGCGGGCGATCTCCTCCTGGAACTCCCGCAGCAGCGTGTCCTTGGGGTCCTCGTTCACCCGGGGCTTGTTCTTGATGTTCTTGGCTCGGTTGGCAAAGCGCAGGGTGGACAGGCTCTCGTCGTAGCTGTGAGAGGCTGGTCCCAGCGTGGCCACCATGATGGTCTTGGCATTGCCCCCTAGAGAGTCCTGGAGCAGCCGGGTCAGCTTGGAGTCCCGGTAGGGGATGTGGGTGCTTCTGTTGCCCGCCAGGGCGGCGATCACGTTGCCCAGGGCTGACAGCGAGAGGTTGATCTTGGAAGCTTCCTTGGGCCTCTCTCCGCCACCAGCCCCGCCGCCCCCGCCCCCTCCACTGCCACCGCCGCCACCCGCGGCTGGTGCGGCAGTCCCCCCGGCTGCATTGGGGCCTGCCTTGTTCTGCCTCTCGCTGCCAGCCAGGTCCACCAGGTTGAGCTTGCCCACACGGATGTGGTCCTGGCCGTCAGTGCCCCGCTCGCTGCACTCTACGGTGATGACAAAGATGGCATGCGAGCGGGAGCTGAGCTCGTTCATGTGGGTGCTGCCCACCGCCCGCGCCTGGTTCCCCAGGTTCATCACGTGCTCAATCTCCTTGACGTTCTTGGTGACGAAGGAAGACAGGTCCTTGATGTAGACGCCGGTCTCCGGGTTCTCCTTCAGCTCCAGCCTCTTGCCCGGCTCCTTGGAGAGCAGGTCCCGGATCTCCTCCTGGTAGATCTCCAAGTAGGAGGCCCGGACCAGGTACTGCTGGTTCTGGGAGCGGGAGATGTGCGTGAAGATGTGCTCGAAGGCGTTGGGGATGACGCCGCGCAGCTCGGGCTCCACCCAGGTGCCCTGCATGGTGTAGGTCTTGCCGGTGCCCGTCTGGCCGTAGGCAAACACGGTGCCGTTGAAGCCCTGGAGCACCGAGTCTATGAGGGGCCTCACGGTTTCGTCGTACAGGTCTGCCTGCTTGGAGCTGGCATCGTACACGGCGTCGAAGGTGAAGGTTTTGGGCAGCTCCCCGGGCGCGGCGCGGGGGTTCCGCAGGGTCACCTGGCCCAGCTTCACGTCCATGGTCAGGATCTGCTCGTGACCCGCAGCCTCCTCCTTCCTGCTGAGGGGGCGGCACCGGGCCACCACCTTCAGGGCCTCGCTGGCCTTGGTCTTACTGGCCATCTTGCCGCCCGGCAGAGTCCCGCTGTGCGCTCGCTGCCCTAGGTCGGGATGGGCGCGGGCCGCGCAGCCCCCGGGCGCCGCGCCTCAATCCGCATGCGGCCTCCGAAGGTGGGGATGCTGGCGTGGCCCCGCCGCTGCTGCACCAGCGGGGAGGAGGAGGGGGAGACGCACGGTCAGGCGGAGTCCCCGGGCAGCCGAGGGAGCAGCGCCGGCCCGAGGGCAGCGCCCGGAGCCCGCCCCATGCCGGGGCAGAGGCGGCGCTGCCGTAAACAGCCGCGGCAACAATGAGATAAAGGAAGAGGAGAATGCGATGGGGGTGGGCGGCAGAGCTGTCTCCTCCGCCTCCGCCTCCTTCCGCTAGGGATGCATGGCGGGGCCGGGGCGCCGGGCGGCGGGGTCGCGGCCCTCGCGAGCGCAGAGGCTCACCTGGAGTCCTGACCCGCGCCGGGGGCACCAGTCATCGCAGCCCGCGCCGCTGCGGCTGCCTCCGCCCGCGCCCCCGCCGCTGCCGCCGCCGCGGGAGACTGACGGAGAAAAACAGAGGGGATGGGGCGGAGCAGCGGCGGCCCGAGGGATGTTGCCGCCGCCGCTGCCGCCGCCGCCGCGCTGCGGCCCGGGCGAAGCCTCCCGGCTGGGGTGGGGCGAGGGGCGGGGCCGCGGGGCGGGGCGCGCGGGCGGGCGCGGCCGTGCGCGGGGAAGGGGGAGGCCGCGCAGAGCACGCCGGGAGTTGTAGTCCCGCCTTTGTTGTCGGCCGGCGCGGCGGGCTGCAGCGCCCTCGCGCGCGCTCGCGTCCGGGCGGCCTCTCGCGCCGCGGGCGAGCCCTCGAGGGACGTCAGGCGCGCGCCCCCGCCCCCGGTCTCGCGGTCCCGCCCTTCCGGCCCGCAGGTGTCCCCCCCTCCCCACGACAGTCCCCTTCAGGGCGCCTGCAGCGCCCCCCACCGCCTAGACGTTCCTGGTTCAGCTTGCAGCTCCAGGGCCTGGGCTGCACCCCCAGGGCAGGGCAGGAGGGGCCGCGTCTCCTCGCCCGCGTCAGCACCCGCAGCCTGCTCGCGCGACTCCTGCGTCGCTGCCCCGCGGCGTGCCGACTCTGCAGCTTCACCGCCCTGACAGTGCACTCTCGCAGTCCACCCCCGCCCCGCACCTCCTGCACCCCAGGCCCCCAGCTAGGAGCCGCACCCTTCTTGTCCGTTAGGAGCCAAGTTTGGCTCCGTAAGCTGCTTTGCCCCTTTGTGCCTTTCCCAGAGACCCTGTCCTCTTCTGCACTTGGGGCGCCGCCACTTGGACACCACTGGCACCTCCTCCTCCTCCTCCTTCGTGGAGCCTTCCCTGACCCCTGGGTTTTTTCCATAGCAGAAGGAGGCATCGAATTTGCATAAAACACAACCTGCATTCCAGTTCCGGTTCTGCTCTCCATCCAAGCTGGGACTGGAGCAGCCACCTGCTTTGCCCCAGCCTCCCTTTCCTCATCCGTTTAAGAGACTGTCTCCTTCACGGGGTGGGCGGGCAAGCGGCTCCGGGTTCCTGGAGCATCCCGGAGAGCAGGCGTGTGCCGGATGCTCTTTTCGGGATCTTCACTCCCTCCCACTCTAGGGTGCAATTTAAGTGTAATTCTACAAGTGCAAGGACAAAGTCAAAGTCCTTTCCGTGGAGCACTGGGTGGGGACTGAGTCCTCCCCCCAGATGTGTCCCATCGTGTCCTTGGAGGGCCCAGAGCCTTTGCCGTGTCTTCCCTGGGGCTGGAAGGTCGAGAGGAGGAGGAGGCATGAGGCTTGGCTGGGAGCTCACTCACCTCTGCAGTGTCCTGTCCGCCCTCCACCCTCTTCTTGATCGGGCTCCACTGCTTGTGAGTAACTTGGCTTTGGGACCAGTTGCCGGGTGGGGTTTTGGCTTTGTAGACTGACTTCTCTTGGCTGTGACAGGCTGACTTCCGGATGGACCACTTGGCTCTTAAGCCATGTTCCTGTTGCATTTGGCTTTGGTTTTTGAACGCCCTTTTCTCTGCTTTGGCTGACACATCTGATGCTACGGCTGGATGAAAGGGCCACCCCCTGGGAGAGCGTGCGTCCAGCTCTTCCTGTATGGGACGCAGATCGGAATCTATTGCTTCTAAGACGTGTGACTCTGAACGCACTGTTGAACTTGTCTGAACAGCTGTCCCAGCGGGAAACCTGGGGATGAAGTGACCATGTGGGTGAAGGACGTGGGAGGCACTCGCGAAATAGTTTTCCTTTCTTTTCTCCTTTGAGTTCAAGCCTATTCACCTTCTACCCAGACAGAAAGAGAGAGGGAGAGGAAGGGGGAGGGGGAGGGGGAGGGAGGGGGAGGGGAGGGGCGAGCTCACATCTGGATCACTCCCCTGGTGCCCACGACAACAGCTGGGGCTGGGCCAGGCCGGAGCATGTTGCTGAGAACTCAATCCAGGTCTCCCACGTGGGGTGACAGGGACCCAAGAACTTGAACCACCACCTGCTGCCTCCCAGAGTGCCTTCGCAGGAAGCTGGAATCTGGCGTAGAGCCAGGACGCACACCCAAACCCTCTGGTAAGGGCTACAGCCACCTGACCTGTTAGACCAAAACCTGCCCCCGGTGCCTTCCTTCTCAGCATCGTCCTCAACCCTTCTTCCTCCCTCCTACACACCTGCACCTCCAGCCGCTCTGATTTGTCTCCACGTCTTTGCCCCTGCTGTCTGCTTCGTTGCCTGAAACGCCCTCCTAAGTGACCACTCCGGTCTACACAGCCTCACCTCCATTCGCTCTGCCGCTCAATGCGGCCACTCAACAGAGACTCTTCCCCAGGACATCGGCGCGCCACGGTGCCAACTCCAGGGAGCCTTGGACATAACCTACCTCCCTTCCCTTCTTCATGAAACTCACCTCTCATGGCGCCCATGACACTACAGTGTTCTGGGTTTTCTCCTATGGATCCTATATGTTCTGGTTCCTTACTTCCTGGTCTCCTTAACCAAGTTGCTCCCCCTCAACTCCAACATTAAGATGTTGGAGCTCTTTAAGAAATAATGATAATAAAGGGGCCAACGTCATGGTGTAGTGGGTCAAGCTGCCGCCTGCGATGCCGGCATCCCATATGGATGCCGGTTTGATTCCTGGCTGCTCCACTTCCAATCCAACTCTGTGCTAATGGCCCAAATGTGTGGGCCACTGCTACCCATGTGGGAGACCTGGAAGAAGCTCCCGGCTGCTGGCTTTGGCCTGGCCCAGCCCCAGCCATTGCAACCATCTGGGGAGTGAATCAGCAAATGGAAGATTTCTCTCTTTCTCTCTCTTTTCCCCTTTATCTGTGTAACTCTGACTTTCAAATAAATCTTTTTTAAAAAATTAAGATGTTGGAGTTCACCAAGAGCTGGTCCTAAGCCCCTTGTCTGCCACCCTCTAGTGTCACTGCTGCTCATGGCTTCTATTATTGTCTTGATTCCTAAATTGGTATCGTGAGTCCAGGTTTCTCCTCTGAGTTCCAAACCTATAAATCCAATTCAGTAATGGACAGATCCTCTTGGATGCCTCCCAGGCACCTGCAATTCTCTCCTCCAAATTTGCTGCTCCAGAAACGGTCCCTTGCTCTGTCAGCAGCACCTCCCTCAGGCCTAGGACATCCACTCAAAGCCCGCATCGACTCTACTCAAATGCTTAAGTATTTCTCAGCTCTGTTCTCTGCTCGTCCACCTCCCTGGCCACTGTCAGGTCTTCTCTGGCCTGGCCTCCTGCAGGAGCCCCCAGTCTGGCCTCCCCAGCTCTGCTCTTTCTGCACACCCAGCGTTTGTTTACAAGTCAATCTTCTTACAAGATGTATCGGCTCATGTTTCCCTGTGCTTCCCACTGCAACGCCCCGGTACTGCAGGACCCTGTTCCCTCTCACACCACTCTCTGCCATCCCCCGGTGCTGCAGTCAGCATGGGCTTGTTCCGCTCCCTTCCAGCTTCCTGCCACAGGGCCTTTACACATACGGTCTGCTCCCAGCACATGTATCCTCATCATCCACGCCTGGATACCTCCTCTTCATCCTTCCAGTATCAGCCTGCATCTCACTTCCTGGGTAGGAAAGATGCTTTGTGTGATCCCCCTCTGTAATATGTCCTCATCCTTCCCGGCTCATACTCTCGTGGAACTTAGCGTATTCATAATTAAATGACTACTTATCCACCTCCCTGTTGTTATATGAAAACATACCATGTCTGCTTAGCTCATCTTTTGTATCCACAATAAGCAGTCCAGTTTCTCATATGTGGTGTATTTTTTTAAGATTTATTTATTTATTTGAAAGTCAGAGTTACACAGAGAGAGGAGAAGCAGAGAGAGAGAGAGAGAGAGAGAGGTCCTCCATCCGATCATTTACTCCCTAGATGGCCGCGACGGCCAGAACCGCGTCAATCTGAAGTCAGGAGCCAGGAGCTTCTTCCGGGTCTCCCACATGGGTGCAGGGGCTGAAGGACCTGGGTCATCTTCTGCTGCTTTCCTGGGCCATAGCAAAGAGGTGGATCGGAAGTGGAGCAGCCAGGTCTCGAACTGGCGCCCATATGGGATGCTGGCACTTCGGACCAGGGCGTTAACCTGCTGCGCCACAGTGCTGACCCCATATGGTATATGTTTAATCAATTTTTGTTGAAAATTTTTGTTGATTTATTTGGGAGGCAAGAGAAGGCGATATGTAAACAGAGAGAGCTTCCATCTACCAGCTCACTCCTAAATGTCCAAAACGGCCCCCAGGAGCCAGGACCCCCCACCCCCCCAGGAACCAAGAACCCCCACCCACCCAGGAGCCAGGACTCCCCCACTCCCCCAGGAGCCAGAACCCCCCCAATCCTTCAGGAGCCAGGACCACCCCCCAGGAGCCAGGACCCCCCACCCTCAGGAGCCAGGACCACCCACCTTCCCAGGACCAGGACCACCCACTCCTTCAGGAGCCAGGACCTCCCACCCACCCAGGAGCCAGGACCACCTACCCCCCAGGAGCCAGGACCACCCCCCCCAGGAGCCAGGACCACTCCCCCAGGTACCAGGACCCCCCCCAGCCAGTACTCCCCGCCAGGAGCTAGACTGCCCCCCACCAGGAGCCAGGAATTCAGTCCAGGTTTCCCACACAGGTGGCGGGAACCCAATTACTTGAGCCATCACCACTGCCTCCCAGGGTCCACACTAGCAGGAAGCTGGAGTCAGCAGCCAGAGCTGGGACTCAGACCCAGCCTCTCCAGAATGGAAGGTGGTTATCCCAACCAACAGGCCAAACACCTGGACTCAATTTTTTTAAGATTGTATTTTGTTTTACTTTATTTTTAAGGATTTATTTATTTGATTTGAAAGGCAGAGGCAGAGAGAGAGAGAGGTCTTCCACCCAATGCTTCACTCCCCAAATAGCTAGCAACGGCTGGAGCTGGGCTAATCTGAAGCCAGAAGCCAGGAGTTCCCTCGGGGTCTCCCACGTGGGTGCAGGGGTCCAAGGAGTTGGTCCATCTTCCACTGCTTTCCCAGGCTATCAGCAGGGAGCTGGATCAGAAGAGCCAGGACTCAAATCAGTGCCCAGGTGGGATGCCAGTGCTGCAGGCCAGGGCTTGAACCTCCTGTGCCACAGTGCCAGCCCCTTGTCTCCATTTAAAAAAAATAAACTAAATAAATCTGAGCCCCA